GCCTGGAGAAAAAGTAAGAAGGACTTGAGCAGTTTGAGGTAAGCTGCTTTTCATATTCTTGAACCCTAAGCAAAACCTGGTGAATGCAGACATAAAAGTCCCATCTCCCTTGGAGCACAGAAACCTCAGTAATGCAAATCCCTATGGCCTCTAGAGTCAAAGGAAGGGGACCGACATTTAAATACTGCTATTTAGTCATGGCAGCCATCCAATGAGGCATTTTTCAAATAACAGAGCTGAAGCTTAGAGAGATTAATGCCTCCCAAAGTTACTCAGAGTGTGGCTTCAATCCAGACTTATCTGTATCCACAGGAGGATTGGCACTTCCAAGGACCTTCCCAGATCAAGCAACCCTCAGAGAAGGCCTCTGGCTTCTTGGGAAAGGCAACTGTTGTTTTCAGGTTTTGATTTCTCACCACACATCACTATCAACTCAGAAAGCCTTTGCTTTCTGCCTGTTTGTAAATTTCTTAGAAAAACATGCCTGGTGCATGGTGGTGCATGCCTATAATTCCAGTGACTCTGGAGGCTGAGGCAGGAGGATTATGAGTTCAAAGCTAACCTCAGTAAAAGCAAGGTGCTAAGAAACTCAGTAAGACCCTGTCTCTAAATACAATACAAAATAAGGCTGGGGATGTGGCTCAGTGGACGAATGCCCCTGAGTTCAAAGAAAGAAAGAAATGGAGGAAGGAAGGAAGGAAGGAAGGAAGGAAGGAAGGAAGGAAGGAAGATAGGTTGGTTAGAGGAAGGAAAGAAGGAAGGAAGGAAGGAACCATGCCTGGGAATCTCATGCTGCTCTCAGGACACAGGGGAATCCAGCTGTCATGTGAGTGGAGTGCCAGGAGGACATGTTGCATATGGCCGACTGGGTCTGACACCATCTGCTATCCCATCTCCTACCTGCCTTTCCTGTCTCCTTTTGCACACTTGATCCACAGGAGAAGAAACAAGCCACAGTGGCCCTGTCATCCCCAGGCTCTAATTTTGAACTTGCAGGGGTCAGATACAAACTCTGGCTTCACTGGGCGCAGCGACACTTCCTGTAATCCCAGTGGCTTGGGAGTCTGAGGCAAGAGAATCCTGAATTCAAAACCAGCCTCAGCAACTTAGTGAGGTTCTAATCAACTCAGTGAGATGCTGTTCTCTAAATAAAATACATAAAAGGCCTGGGGATATGGCTCAGTGGTTAAGTGCCCCTGGGTTCAATCCCTAGTACCAAACAAACAAACAAACAAATCTCTGGCTTCATGACACCCAATTTGGAGTTTGACTTGGTCTATCAGCCAAAAAGAGGAAAGAAAGTCTATGAGAAGTCTTTTATCATCTATAGACTACAGGGAAATATCATCATGGGAAAATGGGTGTCCTCAGGTGGTATCTCCTCTGGCCTTTGCCTAGGGTGAGCCTGTCAGTTGGTATCAGGGATGACCCCAAGGCTTGGATGGTTCTGTCCTCTGGGAATGATGGTATTGGAATGAATGTGTTAATTCGTTTATCTTCCCATTATTCACCCCAGCCAGAGGAAGCTTTGTAAAAGATGGCCTGATCCTATTAGTCCCCAGCTAATAATCTTCTTGCCTCATCTAGAGAATCATGGTCCTTTGCTCCTTGTCCCACCTCATCTACCCTTCCAGTCTCTCTCTGTGCCTGCCTCTCCACCATACTTAGCCATGCTGTAAGTTCTCTTCATCTTCAAACACACCATGCTCTTTGACTCCCTTATTTTGTTTTACCTTCTTCCTGAAATAGGTGCCCTCTCCCATCCGCTCTTAGCTATCTACACCTACCTTGGTGGTCACATTCTTGCTGTCACTTGCCACACATGTCAAAATTAATTGCCCTTCACCCAAATTCCCATAGCATTGTATAGTTCTCTCTATTTGGAGCATCACATTGTATGAGAGCTGTCTGTTCAAAAACTCCATCTCATTGGTTGGATGATGCACTTCTTGGAGGGGAGGAATCACTTCTTATTCTGGAGATATATATATATATATATATCTCCAGAGGAAGGGCTCCATGAATGTTCTGGGGAAGTGACAGCCACAGTGGAAGACATTCATTGTGTTTCAAGGGGGACCTGCGCAGCTTCCTGAGGCTGGGAATAGGTGACAGAACCTCTTCTCCTTCCTTGCCACTCTAGTGGGGCTCAGCTCAGGACCACCAGCTCTGAAGGTCATTTATTTATTTATTTATTTTTCTTTTTTTTTTTTTAATTTTTTATTGTGGGTTGTTCAAAATATTATAAATTTCTTGACATATCATATTCCACACTTTGATTCAAGTGGGTTATGAACTCCCACCTTCACCCCATACACAGATTGCAGAATCACATCAGTTACACATCCATTGATTTACATATTGCCATACTAGTGTCTGTTGTGCTTCGCTGCCTTTCTCATCCTCCACCCTCCCCCCCTCTGAAGGTCATTTAGAGGGCAGAGTTTATCATGAGGGCAAAACATTTCCTTTGAAGGATATCAAGACTACTTTTCAAGTCCATGATGATAGTGGTCTCCATGAAGGGAGTAGAGACAGAGATGGGGTTGCCAATTATGATTTGGGTAACTTTTGGCAAATTGCCTAATCTCTCTGAGGTACAATATCGTCATATAAATAGTGGGAAAACAATGCATACTTCATGTTGCTATGAAGATTAATGACTACTATTTATTGATTTTTTTATTGAAGAGCTAAGGGCTCTATAAATATCTCCCAATGAGAAGTGAAAAAGTGAAAGAGATGGAATCAGAATCTGAATCAGTATAAGAAAAGGACATTGAAAACTGCAAAATATATGGCTGGGTTCAATCCCAGGTACAAAAAAAAAAAAAGATTGTACAATGTTAGCTGCATCTATTTACTGAAAATGCACTTAGACCTTGAAATCTTTGTCCTGTTGGGAATTGAAACTGTAAAGAGAAAAACTCCCCAGCCCTGTCCCTCCACCCCCGTGCCAGGCCACTGTAAGTACAGGAAGTGCATAGGTGAAGGGCTAGTGGAGACGCTACTTAGTTATCCAACAAATCGTGCCTTACCTTCCATAGGTTGAATTGGCAGGGATTGCATTTCCTGGCTCCCCTTACACATAGGTGGGGCTTTGCAATATGCTTTCCTGTGGGATGTGATTGGAAATGACAGTGTCATTTGCAGGTCAAGATGGTTAAGAGGGTGTGAATAGTTGAAAGGTAAAAGCAATTCAAGTGTCTATCAATAGATGAATCGGTAAACAAATATAGTGAATACATACTATGGAAAGAAATTCTGATACCTGGTACAACATAGATAAATTTAGTAAACTAGTTAACAAAGGACAGACATATGATTCCACTTAAATGAGGTAGTTGCAGTAGTCAAACTCATAGAGACAGAGTAAAATAGCATTTGCCAGGGGCTACAGAAAGCAGGGAGTACGGAGTTAGTGTTTAATGAGTACAAGAGTTTCAGTTAAAAACATGGAAGAATTCTCAAGAGGGATGGTGATAAGGGTCATGCAACATCACTGTTCTTAATGCCACTGTACTGTCCACTCAAAAATGGTTAAAATGGTAAATTTTTATGTTAAGTATATCTTACCACAATAAGGAGAGGAGAAAGAGAAGAAGGTTTTGTGACTTCTCTGTCTGCTAGTTAGATACAGAGAACTTTTAGGTTGTAGGATTAAAGAGCCACAGGATGGAAGGAGCCCTGTGCCCCTGACAAAAAGCCACTTACTCACTAGGAATCAAATCAGACTCTGCTTTGAGTGGTGAGTAGACTTCTAACAGGCTAAATCCCTGGAACTGGGCTTTCATTTTCAGCATCTAGTATGACCCTACTACACAACTGGCAGCTGATACTCATGGCTGACTTTGCACTACGACGGGTCCCCTGAGAAAGAGATGGAGTTGGGTAGTTTCAGAACTTGCATTGGTTTGGACATTTGTGCTGAGTTCCCACCTTCAAGTTCAGCAGTTCTCAAGATTGAACCACTCAGTGGCTACAAAACTGATTCGAGGCATTCTGTTTCTAAGGAACCCCTTGGAGTTGGCTTCCTACAGACCCTCTGTTAGGGGCAGACGTGGAAACTGTCCCCATGTGCCTTCCTAGGTAAACCATGCTCTGGGGAAGTGGCTCTGTGGTCCCATTTGAGTGGCAGCCTCATAGTTGCCCATAGCGTAGGAAGCAGGCAGGGACCATCCTGTCTTGTGCTGAAAGGAAAAGGCCCTGTTGGAACTCAACTATGACTGCAGGCTGGGACTGAAGCCATCTACAAATTCCAGGATCAGTAACCATGACAGTTCCTGCACCAGGATGTAGAGGAGACTCTTAGTACAGGCTTGGGAATCAGATGGGGTTATAAATTACAAATTATCAATATCAACAGTGAAGACCTTTTCTGGCTGACCATGCTCTGGATAGCTCTGGGTTTGGCAGCCTTCAGGCACCTTCAGTGTGGCAGTGAGCCATAGTCTCCAGGCATGTGTCTGAGATGGCACCAGTGACCCAAGAGACTGGGATTGACCCTTGGACTTCAGATAAGCAGCCTGGGAACCTGGACTTCTTGTGCTTGCACTACAGGGGAGTGACCCTAGGAAAGAGAAAAGGCTGAGGCCATTCTTACAAGTGGGAGGAGAGGCAAGAGCCAAACCAATGGAACAGATAAGAGAGGTAGCCTCATTTCTTTCCTCAATTTTGCAAAGAATTTACTGTTTCAGTGAATTTAAATGGCTCATAAACATAACAGCAAAACAGTTACCCTCAGTACCTAAGGGGGATTTGGTTCTGATATTCTCCCATGAGAATACCAAAATCCATGGAGGCTCAAGTCCCTTATATGAGATGGTGTAGTATTTGCATAAAATCTATATACACATCTTTTCCATACTTTAAATCATCTCTAGATCACTCACAATACCTAAGACAATATAAATACTATGCAAATAATTGTTGTATTGTTTAGAAACTAGTGACAAGGAAGAAAGTCTGTACCTGTGCTCAATACAGACACAATTTGGGGATTAATTTTTTTTTTGAACTGGGGATTGAACCCATGGGCATTTAACCACTTAGCCACATCCCCAGCCCTCTTTTATATTTTATTTTGAGGCAGAGTCTCCCTGAGTTGCTTAGGGCCTTGCTGAGTTGCTGATGCTGGCTTGGAACTCACAATCCTCCTGCCTCAGCCTCCTGAGCTGCTGGAATTACAGGAACGTGCCACCATGCTGATTTGATTATTTTTAATTTGTGGTTGGTTGAATCTGCAAATGTGGAACCTGTAGGTATAAAAGGTGACTATATTCTTCCATACTTTCATGGGGAGCCAGGATCTGCACACAAATTTGAGAATTGTGTCAAAATCTGACAATGTCCCTAAAGGAAATTTATGCAAATAAAGGTCATATAAGTTACATTATAATAAAGGCTGAGAATTATTCATTTCTATAGATTTTTTTTAATCAGGGTTTTCAACATGTGTTAAATACATGAATGTCTCCCTCTTCCTCATTATAGTATAAAATCTTCAGAATTCTCCTGTTGTGGCCATCAACATTGCTGGCTCTTACCTCTCCTTAGCTTGTCACTGGCATTCACCATGCAATGGGACAGCAAGCTCTGAGGCCTTCAGAGATGAAACACAGCAGAATATTAAAAGTAAAATAAAATAAAATGCAGACCCCCTTTTCTTTTGCACCTCTATCTTTTAGAATTTTTTGGAGTCAGTCCTCCATATTCCTGCAGAGGCATTTGTTTCTGGCTCCCACTCTGGGGTAATGTTTGTACTTTCTTTCACCCAGGCCAAATGGAGGTGTAATCACCCAGGGTCTGAACCCTACTGCAAGAAAGCTGTTTTGGCTTCCCTGACTTTTTTTCATGTTCTCTTATGCACCCTCAGCTAGGGTCTTGCATAAAAAACCAGCTGATAAGCATCTGATGCTGTCTTTGAAATGGTGCCAAGGTTGCTTGGGTCCCACTGCCACGCCCTGGGAGCTGGTCCCAGGGTACCCCTCCTGTCTACCTGACCTGGGCAGGGCCCAGCTGAGGTTGGAAGCCCTTAGGAAAGGGAGGCCTGGCCTCCCAGTCAGGATGACACAGGGCTGCCAAGCCAGAATCCCAGCAACCCTGCATGTCGCATGCTTTCCTCTCCACTTACTTGCCAAGGTGATCTCCCCCGCGCCTCCCCCACTGTCAGTGCTCCCTTTTTTGGGGAACACTTACTGGATCAAGGAATTACTGTCCCATTTCCTCCAGCAGCAGAGTAGGTTGGGCGCTGTGGTGAAGTCATTCAGAAGTCCGACTGCCTAGTCTCCTCTGTCCCTCCTGCCCTCTTGCTGTCACTGGGAACTGCCCAGCTATCCCTGAACCAAGAGGTGAGCAATGCCACAAGGCACCCATGCTGGAGTGAGTACAGCAAGCGGGGTTTATCATGCACTGTGAAATACAGAGCTGAAAGACCCTAGCCTCTGGTCTACTCCCTTGGAAATTCCTGGCCCCCAGGACATCTGCATATTCCCAGGTGGGGGTGGGGTGGTTGAGGTTTTCTTCTGGCTCCTACTGTCTGCTCCCACTGGATTCTTTCAGTTTGAGTCACTCTGCCATCCTGTGTGCATTGTCCATGTCTACATCCAGATGTGGCACTCAGGCCCTTGCCTTGATTTCCACCAAACCAAACCAAACATCTGTCCGAGTCTTTTGGTACACATAGCCTACTCTGCCAAGGGTTGCTTAAGCAAAGAGGATTTACACTGTAGCAATACAAACTTTAAATAGGACTTTTGATCTTTAATGATTTTCTTGGAAGCTACCTTCATCTCTGGAGATTTCCCAATAGCCAGATCAGCCCACATTGCTAACCAAGCTCGTGCTTCTCTATGGTGTGGTTCATAAACAACCTACACCAGAATTGCCATTGTAGGAGTAGGAGCCTGTTGGGGTACTCTGTGTGTGTGTGTGTGTGTGTGTACACATATACTCATGAGCATCTAAGAGGCGGGACATATTTTTTGTTTCAGTTTTGTTTGTTGCAGTTATGTCTTGTTAAGATGCTTGCTTGTAATGGGCCTTTTTACATTTGGGGATATGTGTCCTGCTAATTGCAGTGTCTATTCACTAGAGTGACCTCTTAGACCATATCCACAAAATCCAAATAATTGAAAGGAATAACAAATTATTCCTATTTTGCTTGCATATTCTCTAAAAGAATTTTGTACCTTTATGTACTGCCCCTTCAACAGCGTTGCATTGGTATTTAATAATTTTCATCTTGAGTTTAAATAGCTGCAAAGGATCTATCTATGTATGATATATCAAAGTGCATAAATGCATTCTAGTATCATGTAACTAATTAAAACAAATTTTAAAATAATAAAAAAATACCATTGAAAAAAGATTACCTCTATTAAAAATTTTGAAATATTTTTATGTTTTAACAGTTTTTTAAATAACTGTATATTTCTAATTTAAATATATCCAAAGAAAATTTTAATGTCACAGCAATTTGATATGCTTGATGTTTGTTTGTTTCCCCAGTGCAGGGCCTTGCACATGTTAAACAAGCACTCTACCGCTGAGCTATAGCCTCAGCCCCTTTTTTATTTTTAATTTTGAGACAGGATTTTGCTAAGTTGCCCTGGCTGGCCTTGAACTTGTGGTCTTCCTGTATCAGTCTCCTGAGTAGTTGGGATTGAGATATGCACCACCACGTCCAGCTTCTCAGTCATCCTTTTTAAAAAATAAATCCTGAACAAGTTCTTTTAACACTCAGAAATTTTACAATGTTGCTTTTTTTCTCCTTGACCTTGCATTTCCATTCCTGTTCTTCTACATAACTTTATCCTAATATAATATACACTTATACATTCCTCCACTAGAATGGAGCTATGTTGGATTAGCAATTTTGAAGTATGGTCCAGGGACCTCTGGGGACCCCCTGAGGTTTTCTTGGGGGTTTGTGAAGTTAAAACTATTAATACTAAGATGCAATTTATCTTTGTCACTCTCATCCCCTCTGGAGTTTTCCAGCAGCTGCATGGGATGACAATCTACAGTGTCATCCCAGCAGATTGATGCAGAAGCAGATATGAGAATACAGCTGCCTTCCATGAAGCCAGACTTGCCATATGCAAAACAATGCACTCTCCTCACTAAGATTTGTTTGTTTGTTTTGGAAAATATAATTAATTTTGTAAACTTATTTGTGCATAATGGGCTTATTATCGTTAGTTTTAAATGAACTGATTTTTGTAATTCTTAGTTTCAATTTCTAACATGGTATAACTCACCTATGCAAAGTTATTTGGAGTCCTCAATAATATGTAAGAGTGTAAAGAATCCTGAAACCAAAGGCTTTAAGGACTTCCATTCTAAGATATGAAACTAGAAAGGGAATTTTTGAGTGGTAAATTTTACACATCTTTAACTTTCCTATATAAAGCAGTAAGTTTTCCCAAGTGGTTATACCCATTCATCCTTCAACCACCAATGTATGAGTGTTGCTACAGTAGCAAACACAATCCACCCTTCTCAGAAAGAGGGGGGTGGCCTTATAAGGCACTTGCTTCTCCCTGTCTCCCCCTCCCAGATACATGTTTTCCAGGTGGGCTTTTCAAGTGTCCAAGATTCACAACCTACTTTTTCTGCTAAGGAGGCTCTTTGTTTCTGGCGGCCAAGGTGAGGGATATTCTGAAGTCAAAGGGGTTGTGAACTGCCATGATTCCCCCAGGGACAGTGGAGACTCCAGGTCCTGGAAAGAGAATGAATGATTGCAGACTGATGGTCTGTTTAGTCTCCTTTAGACAAAGTTGATTTTATACCTTTTTGTAGTTAAAAATTCATCACTGCTTCCCCCTCTTCCCTAAGGCCCCAATCTCTTCCCCTTAAACCCTCCTTTGAGCTCACCTCCTCATCAGTCAGTGAGAGCAGATTTTCTGCACATCTAGATCTTTACACCCTCCAGCTTAAAAAGCTCCGTGAGGGCCTTGGTGGCCCTGTGGCTCTGATGCTGAAGGGGAGCTACTAAGGAGAAAGAGTTCCAGGCCCATTCTGGAGAAAGCCCGGAGGCTGTTCCTGCCTCAGAAACACGAAGAGGTGGAGCCGATTTTTCCATCCCATTATTCCAAAGAATTTTTAAGCAGGATTATGAATAACTTCTAGTATTCCTGCTCTGAAAATAAACACAGGCACCTGGGAATAATTGTGCTCACAGGAAGTAGGCCAGCCATGTGCACAACCTCCTGGAAGAAGAAAACCCCCCTGGTTTTTAGGACCATGTTTACTCCCGAGAAGGGATTTACCAGGGAAAATGTGGCTGATGGTGTCAGCTCCCTCTGGTGCCCTCTTCCCTCCTCCCTCTCCATAAATCCCCCACTTCCGGCTCAAGTTGGCAGGAACTTGTAGTTCCTGGCCTGGGAGGCCTGCCAGAGCCCGCCCATTTCCCTGAGAGCTTCTTTTCTATTTCTAAACAGAGTTGTTCAAAACCGGATGCTGCCACAGAGCCAGGTTCCTTGCCCTTTGCCCCTGTCCAACCCTCGACCCTGTGGAGCAACCCTCCCCCACTACTAGCTTGGATCTGGCACCTGACCACAATCCACGCCAGTCTCCTGTCGGGCAGCACAGGCTCCAGGCCAGATGACAGCTGCCAGAGGAAACTGCACTGGGCAACAAGGCTCCCAAAGACCTTTCAGGCACCTCTTCCTGAAGCCCCTCCCATTTCTCTCTCCTCCTGCCTCCCTGTTCTGGAATCCTTGGGGCAAAAGGATTCTAGCAGCTATTCTGGGGAGTCCCTTTCTCAAGACAGGGCCAGAGTTGAGCCATCACAGATCACAGAGATAGAAAACAACCGAAAGAAGACAATGCCCTTCATCCATTTAGTTCTAATAAGTGGCTTTTCATTCACTTATTCATACTTTCATTCATTCTTTTCCTATTCAACAAGGCATCTAGTCTCTACCAGCTGTTGTTGCAGGTGCTGGGGCCACGGCAGCAAATACAACAGGCAAAATTACCTGTCCTTATGGATCTAATGCACTGATAGATGTTAGGAATGCCATACAAGGAAGGAAGAGGAAGTCATTGGAAATATTAAGAGGGTAATCTGAAGGCTGCTTAGTGTATTAGGACAATAGCTTTACCCCATCACTGTTGTAAAGGGGCATCCAGGCTCACCAGGCCTGGAGATTAGGAACAGCAGAAAATCAGCCAAGGGTGAAAAACAGCTAAGGAGAATGGGAAATTTGAAACATGACTTTGGATTTTCTGCTGCAACCCATAATATGGAGGGGAGGGAGGTGGGCCATCCCTTTCTGCTCAGGTCTGGGGGCAGCAGCAGTCATGAATCTTTTTAGCCTGGGGGAGGGGCCCTTGACCTCCTTGCCTGGTGCCTCAGCTCTGATTATTTTATGGGCTGTGACACCATTACAACCACATGTCTCCCACGATGACAGTAGAGGACCCCAAAAGAAACAACCACATCCCTCTTCAAGAATTATGGGGACGCCCATGTCTTTGCAAAAGAAATTCCAATTCCCTCCATCAGTGTTCCTTATCCCTGGCTCTGATGATTGTTTTTTGGGAAATGCCTCCAACATTTTACTTCCAGTGTCTCTCTCCCAACTTATCTGTCCAGTGCATAGGATCTATCAATATTCATTTATTTATGCAACGAACATACACTGAGTGGCAACCATGTTCCTGGCCCTGTGCATAGTGCTGAAAATGGCCTTTTTCAGGTGCTGGCTTGAGGGGGTGCAATGGGAGAGGTGGGAACCATCTTGCACAGCACACATCTAGGGGGTGCTCTCAAGAGGGACCAGCAAGCCAAGAACTCTGGGGGCAGATGGCAGGGACACATGCTGGGTGGGCCAATGGTACTAAGCATTCATTCAGTGTTGGTTGCATGGTGCTAGCACTGACACCTCAAGAAGGCTTAGCTCAGAAGGAACAGTAAGTTCAATTGAGACAATAAATAGAACTTTCCGAGGCAGGCAGCTTATAGGGAGGGAGTGAGGGAGTTTTATGGGCAGTTAGCAACCTGCAAAGACAGAAAATTGGGAAAGGGTTAGGTCCAAGGGAGCCTGAGTGCATGGGCAGGAGGTGACTGGTGGCTTGGCACTGGGGGTTGCAAAGGGTGCAGGATATGGAGGCCATGCCAAGGAGAATTTGGACTTTATCCTGGAGTAAACAAGCAGAAACTATGGAAGAATTTCCTTTTTTTAATAAAAACGCCATGTTTTTTAGTATACTGCTTCTTTTAAAAAAAATTATTGCTGTACTATAATTATACATAATAGTGGGATTCACTGTGATATATTCACACTTGCACATAGCATATGTTGGTCCCCTTGGTCTATTCTCTCCTTTCTTCCTCTCCCATCCCCACTGTGAACTGATCTCTCGTCTATGTTCCTGGGGTCCCTTTCTTTCCTTTTTTTCTCTCTAGCTTCCACTTATGGGAGGAAACATGATCCTTGACTTTCTGAGTCTGGCTAATCTCTCTGGACGTAATGCTCTCCAGTACCATCCATTTTCCTGCAAATGGCATAATTTCATTCTTCTTTATGGCTGAGTAAAACTTATGGAAGGGTTTTGAACTAGACATAATATAATCAGATCTGGAAGGCACACGCATAGACACTAAATACATGCAAATACCTAAATTGTCTAAATATATACATGCTTTAAATACATTAATGTATGTGTCTCACCCATACAAACTAGGATAAATTCGTTATTGTGTTTTTCTTCCCCTATTCCCTCTCCTCTCGGCAGTCGAGGCCTATGTGCTGCCCAGTAGCATTGTGATTCTCTTAGCAGAAAGATGAAGAGAGAAACAGAGAGCTATTGTGTTACCCCTTACTTCCAAGAGATGCTCTGGAGAATGAGCAGGCAGAGAACTCTAGGAGATGAAGAGGACTCAGAAGAGAACACAAGGAAAGGGGCAGGCAGGTGACCTCCTCCTTCTGTGAGGATGGGACTGTCACAGATGGGGGCTGGATATGGGGCCTGGCAGGGAAAGGGAGGCTCTTTGGAAAGGCTGCCAGCCCCTCAGTGCTGAGTACCAGGGGGCAGTACAGAAATGATGCCCACACATGCAGCCCATTTTTCATCCAACACGTAGGCAGAAGCGGTTCACATCTCTGTGTGACAAAGTTGCCCATCAACAGCTGGCAGAGTGCTGCTGTTGTTCACAATGCAAGACCCATCCAATCTGCCTGAGTCAAAGGCCAACACAGCTTTTGTTCCTCTGTTTCTGAAAAATGAACAAAAGGGCCTGCAGAACAGGCAGAAGGAATGGGGGGGGGCAGTGATATACGAGATGGATATTATTAAAATATTTTTCCATGACTTAATCTGCCCAATGTAAGATTTTTAAAAATTTGAAAAGACTAAAATATAAGGGGCTTGGGGTTGTAGGTCAGTGGCAGAGCACTTGCCTAGCACATTTGAGGCAGTTGGTTCGATCTTCAGCACCCCATAAAAATAAATAAATCAAATAAAGATATTGTGTCCATCCACAATGAAAAATAATAATAATAAAAGAAGCAAAATGTAAATAGAAAATAAAGGAGAGGTAGAAAAAGAATAATGTAAAAGGAAGGTTGGTGGTGCCTACCTGTAATTTCAGTGACTCAGGAGACTGAGGCAGGAGGATGGCAAGTTTGAGACCAGCCTCAGCAACTTAGTGAGATCCTGTCTCAAAAATAATAAATAAAAGGACCGTGGATGTAGCTCAGTGATAAAGTGTTCTTATGTCCTTAGGTTCAATCCCTAGTACCAAAAAAAAAAAAAGCCCAGAACCCAGTGATTTGTTTGTTTTGGTTTTAAATAGTTTAAATAGGCTCTGAGCTTCCAACGAAACAATGCAGAAGTGGGGATATGAAAGTCACAAAACTGACAATGTATAAAAGATAAGGCAAAGCTTTTTGCTAATTGATAGTTCTTTTCCTCATTCTAGGCATTAAGTGAACCTCTTCCTCCAGTGTTCTCAATAGCTTATCAGAAATAAATACACTGTGTTTTCTATGGACACTTCCATTGGGTTCCTATAGGTGATATCCCAAAACCCATTTTAGGAAGTACAATTCTATAAGCTGACAAGAGAAGAAGGCCAAATATGTCATCAGCCCATAGGAGAAGATCTACCTGATTTGGATTGGAAAACACGACCCACACTAGCTAAAGGATGGACTGAAATCCTTCAGGCAATCTTCTATAAATGTTTACTAAAAGTTGAGACATGCATGCATACTTTGAAGGAAGATATATTGCTTGGAAAGAACTCAACTGGAGTAGTTTTCTATTACTGAGTAAAGGCAGATCAGTAATCTTAAAAATTGATATAGAACACATCCAAAGAAATACTAAACAGTCATTAACAACTACTTTCTATATTGTAATTTCCATAACCTGACAAATGGGGTGTGGGGGTGGGGTGGGGAATGAACCCAGGGACTTAGGCATGTCGAAAGCATTCTATTATTGAGCTACAAACATTGTCCCTTTTTAATTTTTAAATTTTGAGACAGAGTCTCACTAAGTTAACTAGGCAATTTATTCTACCGTTATGTACAACTATAATGCACTTTCTCTGTATTTTTATTGGTGCTTTGCAGTTGTACATGACAGTGGGATCCGTTGTTACATTTTTGTACATGCACACAACATAATAATAGAATTTGGCCAATGTCATTCCCCAGTATTTCCCCGTTCCCTCTCTTCCCTTCTCTTCCTGGTCTCTTTCTTCTG